GTATGTAACTAGGTGTGTGCATACATGTCTATGCAGGGTTCCTATGAAAAATGCATCTGGACTAGGCTCAGCAAGAAGAGGAAATTGATCTGTAGAATATCTAGTGCATTTTGTGGAACCCAAGTCCAGGAAGTGCTGCTGGGCCACGTGAGGGGTTGGGGCCGGGCTGTGGAACAAGACTGCCTCAGAGCCCATCCACACCTTCCTTCCTGCTCTTTCGCTCTTCTGTGGCTCAGCCAACTCTCTGTTCTTTACAGCTTCTGTCAGATCAGAGACTGCCTTCAGCCTCCAGCTCCACCTAGTCAGGGCCTAGCGTCCCACTAGACGCATATTGACGGTCAGAGCAGTGGTGTGAGCATGCCCCTAGGGCCATACTGTGGGTGTGCATAGCAGAGATGGATGAGCCGGTAGCGCTGAGAGAATATGCCACAGATAAAGCCAGAATTGAAAGTAAGAGCGTGTGTGGAGGAGCCATGGTGCTGGTCCATTCAGCACAGCACTGAAACTCACAGGCTGGCAAGACTAAGAAAAGATGGCTGACTGCTGACGTGCCTGTTTCCTTGGATGTGGAAATGGTTGGGACCTTATTGTATAGCAAGTTCATTGTTCTGTATTTAATATCATTAAGACCATATTGTGTGTCGTGCTTACTGCTTTTGTCTATTATTATGTGTGATGCTCAGTTTCATGTGTCATTTTTGCTATGCTGCCGTGTACGGATTTTTCACCAGTGATCTGAATGTTTCTGTAAAGATATTTTTAGGTAAAATTAATGTTTTTATTTGCAGTAAATTTTCACTAAAGCAGGTTACTTTTTATTATTATTAGTTATATTTTCTGACAAGGCTCACTTTGTAGCCCAGGCTAACCTCAGGTTTACAGAGACCCACTCGCCTCTGCTTTCTGAGAGCTAGGGTTAAAGGTGGGCACCACCATGCCAAGCTTCAGATTGCATTTTACAGTCGGGCTGGCAAAAGACTGACTTTAAATTCTTATTTTATTTATTTATTGTGGGATATATATATCTTCTCTATGTAAACAGTCTAGGCTGGCCTGGCTTTCACTTTGTAAACCAGACTGCAGGCTGGCTGGCCTTGACCTTCGCAACTCACAGAGATTCCCCTGCCTCTGCTTCCCAAATGCTGGGATTGAAGGCTCGTACCACCACTGCCTGGGTATTTATTGCTGCTGTTGTTGTTTAAGACTGTGTTTCTCGCTGGGTGGTGGTGGCAGCGGCAGCGCACACCTTTAATCCCAGCACTTGGAAGGAGGTAGGTGGATCTCTGTGAGTTTGAGGTCAGCCTGGTTTACAAGAGCTAGTTCCAGGATAGGCTCCAAAGCTACACAGAGAAACCCTGTCTCAATCTCCTCCCCCCCCCCCCAGCAAAAAGACTTTCCCTGTGTAGTCCTGGCTATCCTAGAACTCATTCTATAGATCAGGCTAGCTTCAAACACAGAAATCTGCCTTCCTCTGCCTCTTGAGTGCTGGAATTAAAGGTGCGCACCACCACTGCCTGACTTATTTATTATTATTCTTATGTTTTTTTGAGGCAAGGTCTTTCTACATACTTTATCAGTCTTGATACTCACTATGTAGACCAAACTCGCCTTGAACTCACAGAGATCCAATTGCCTTTGCCTCCTAAGTGCTGGGATTAAAGACATGTGCCAGTATACCTAGCTAAAATTTATTTATTTATTTATTATGTATACAATATTCTGTCTGTGTGTATGCCTGCAGGCCAGGAGACAGCACCAGACCTCTTTACAGATGGTTGTGAGACACCATGTGGTTGCTGGGAATTGAACTCAGGACCTTTGGAAGAGCAGGCAATGCTCTTAACCTCTGAGCCATCTCTTAGCCTCTGAGCCATCTCTCCAGCCCCTAGCTAAAATTTTTTTTAGCATAGATTTGTTTGACTGTTTGTTTGTTGTGTGCATGTGTGTGTGTGTGTGTGTGTGTGTGTGTGTTAGTGTGTTCATGTGTGTCTGTGGGAGTCAGAACAACTTGGTGGGGGTCAGTTCTCTCCATCTGTGCATTCCAGGTCTTGAACGCAGGAAGTCAGTCTTGCCCTATAAGAGAGAATTTTGCCACCAGATTTCCTTCAGGTTTGAGCCGCATCTCAGCTTCTCGGATCCCCAGCCCATGGGTTTGGAATGTGTGAGCCTCCACAGTGGCTTGAACTAGCTCCTTGGTGTACGTTTCTTTCTAGATACAATGCACAAACACGCTTGGCAGGCTAGTTATTTCTCTGGAGAACCGTGCCTGAAGCGTGTCATAAAACTTTAATTTTATTTCATTTAATTCCTACACAGTACTGTAGAATGAAACAGGTCTCACCTGTGCTAGGCAAGTGCTCTACCACTGAGGTACCTATGACCTTTTGTTGTTGTTGGGTTTCCTTTTTATTTTGAAGATATTTTCTTGCTAACTTACTCAGTAGACCAGACTTGCTTTGACTGTACAAACCTCCTGCACTGACTTCCCAAGGGAAATTTTTTTATATTCCTGAAAGATGGTTTTTATACTGGAGGTTCATTACTGTGCTAAATATTAGTTACCTCCATTTAGGTAGGAGGAGCCTGAGATGAAAGGGTACTATGTGGCTACCCCAAGGTCCCACAGCTGAAGACACAGACACAGTCAGCCTAGCTTGCAGGCCTGTAAAAAGCCCTTGTCTATCAGTCAGGTAGACAGACCCGTCTTCTCCAGGCCAGTTCTCTCACCTGGGCAGGTAAGGACGTGTAAGATGGTCGCTGCACCAAGGAAGAGGCAAACTCAGAAGCCGTCCTCTGCCACATGGACTGGAGAACCCAGAAGTCTGTTTCAGGAAGAAAAAGAAAATGCAGTGTTTACTTGGTAGGAGGAGACAGTCCTGGGCCGTGCAGTACACAGCTGGTGTTACTTCCAAGCTAGGGTTCTCTGGGATCCTCTGTGACTTTGTTGGCTCCTTTGTCTCTTCCAATGTGGTTTAAGTTGGTTTTCCTCGTTCACATTTGAGACTTGCGATGGATGCATTTGGTAAATGGCAGGCAGTAGCCTGTGTCCGTGACCAGTGAGTGCTGGAGACACTGTTCTACATGCAGAGATAATGAGCCCTCTGTGTCCACCAACTCCGCAGCATTGGGTGGTGTAAATCATCTCGTGACAGTTTGGCGATGTGAATCCTCACCCGTATTTCTGTCCATTTCGTAGACTCCTAGGGTTGCCCAGTCGCTGCGTATGAACGTGTATATTGTGTATGGTCTCACATACTGACATGCTTTCCAGACTACAGCTTTCGTTTCATTAGCAGGATACAAGAACAAGAGAAATGTGTCCTTAATGAGCCACCATTGCCCTATTGTGTGATATAGGCTGTGTATTTACCAAAATTCAAAAGTGATTTTTTTTTCTTGCTGTCTGTTTTTGCCCCATACTGCAATTATTCTGGACAAATTAAATTGTACTTAAAAGGGTCGGAGTGTAATTCATCGATAGAGAACTCCCTGGCACTCAATCCCTGGTGTCTCAAAAAAAAAGAATTATTTTTAGAGACAGGTTTTGAAATGGCTTTAATTGCAAGCTATTTTATTGGCTCTTTTCGCTCCCTCCCACAGAAGGCGCCTCAGTGTAGCAGACAGATCTGATCATGTGTGATAAGCAGTCAGGAAAGTGTGCCAGGCTGAGTCAAACCATTTTTTAGAATAACTGAAGGAAATGTTACCCAGGCTGTGCAAGGAACAGGCTAGCGGTGCTGCGAGATGAGAAGTACCTAAGCCACGCTAGCGGCTGACATCCTAATCCCAGCACCTGTTATCAACCCATACACAGTGAGTGAGACCAGCCTGGTCTAAATGCCACCCTGTCTCAAGAAAACAAAACCAACGAGCCAAAAATGCATCTGGGAGAGTGAGGTGTGGTGGCGCATGCCCTGGCATGGGCAAGGCCGTGGGTCCATCCCTAGCACCATAAGAAAAATCATTTAGGGTATCAGAATTTGTTGGGCATCCATTGTGTGCACTTGAAAGTGATGTAAAGTGCTTACTGATATACTTTTGTCGTCTCCCCCCCACCCGCGCCACCCTGTTTCGAGACAGGGTCTGTGTAGCCCAGGCTGACTTCAGACTTAAGCAATCCTCCTGCCTCAGCCTTTTGAGCACTCAACCTGTTTGTATTCTACTTCAACACCTACTGTTTGTCTTCAGTTTCATTTAGGAACTTGAAATCATCAGGCACACCCCACGCAAATATGGGTTGCCCAGATTAACTGTGCGCCCCCCCCCCCATCGTCCCTTTCCTCTAGCCTTGAGCACAGCCTGCTCTTCCCACAGATGTCGCCAACTCCAAGAGCGTCCTGCTTGTACTATAGCCCTGACTGACCTGCAACTTAATATGTAGACCATGTTGGTCTCAAACTCAGAGTGATCCTTCTGCCTCTGCCCCCTGCTGCTAAAATTACAGGCATGTTTCACCATGCTTTGTTCCCACCAAAATTTGTCTCAATGGGATTGCCATTTGAAGTTTAGTGGAGAGCACAGAAGTAGAAAATTAATTACAAAGTGTACCCCTCCAGTGGGGAGAGAAAACATCACACTGCGGATTGCGAATGACAGCCACTCCTGGGTGGGAGAGGCTGAGAGTGCCGGCCTTGCTCCCCGGGAAGTCAGAGTGCTTAGTAGACCGGATTCGGGCGGTGTTCATAGCTCCTGCACCTTGGCTAACAGTGTTGCCCACTGTTCTCCAGGAGCATGGGCAGCTACCAGATCTGGACAGTCAACCAGAACTGCTTTTTCACTTCCCACAAAGAGGGATGGAGCAACAGGAGCTGTCATTGACTAAGTCACCCTTGCAAAAACATTTTGTTAACGTCTGTTGTGTGCCAGGCCTAGTTAGGCACTGGGAAGATAGAGGGGAGTAGAAAGCCTACAGTTCTTGATAGGGTGTTATAGCAAGGTGATGTTTTTATTTGTTTATTTGTATCTGTCTAACTTAGTTTCATTCTCTCTCTCTCCTTTAGTACCCTCTTATGTATGGACTGATTCTCATTCCCTGCTGGAGTTCTCTGGTTTGCATCAGTAGAATCTACATGGGAATGCATTCCATCCTGGTAAGAAAAGAGGGTGTCATCCTTAAATAGTTCTTTGTTTCTGGCATGGGTAGAAACTTTGCAAACTTAAGTCACGTGGTCATATGATCTGTTGTCGTACAAAGGAACACAAAAGCAAAAGTAGCTTGGCTGGGCGATTTCTTTTGGTAGAAAGGTTGCCACAGAACTCAAACCATGTGCTGAGTTCACTTGGGTTTATTCTGGCACAGGTGGTGACTGTGCTCTCCCCACTGGCTCGGCACAATCTGTCTTTCTGGATGGCCTAATCTTCAAATTGACTCAAAGAAAAAGAAGGAAATGGGTGGCCGGGTCAGCCCCTCTAGGCCATCAAGTTCCAGGAATGGGGGTGGGGGGTAGGGAGACTTTGTGTAAACAAGAATCTTACTGGGTGTGGGAGATTAAAAGATTTACAGGAAATTTTTACAAGGAGAGGGAGATTAGTGGAACAGTGGCTCTTGATGACCAAGCTACTTTTGATAGATAGGCAGGGAAAAACATTTCTCACAAAGCCTGAATGAGAAAAGACAGTTTGTAAGTATTCCTCATTTTGCAAGACTCTCGCCATAATGACCTGTGGTGTGCTAATATATTGACCTTGTGGTTCTCTTTGCCCTCGAATGCTGAGAGTGCTTCAGAAGCTCCAGGAATGCCTACCTTGGTCAGATGCCTCTCTCTCTTGCCTGGTTGGCTGTCTCACGTTCCTCACCCTGCAGCTGGTTCTCATAGCCTTTTTCCCTTTCCCTTCTCCTCAAAGTGCTCAGCTGCATCTCACTGGGATCGCCACCTAGCCCACAGTGGCCTGTCTGTTCACCTTCAGTATCACATAACAGTCTAGGATTCATTGCATATTTGCTTGTAAACGGAGGACCAAAAAAGATGGCAAAACTGAACTAATTTATGGGATTCTAATTTTTCTAATGAGTTATACTGAATTTTGTTGTTATTGTTATTATTTTTATAATGCTTTGTTTCAGGGCTCTACTTAGTGCCGTGAACCTTGGAGAGCTGGACCTAAAAAAATGAGGCAGACTACCTGGGGTGGGGTGGGGTACGGTGGTGCACGCCTTTAATCCCAGCACTCGGAAAGCAAAGGCAAGTGGGACCTCTGAGTTCCAGGCCAGGCTGATCTACAAAGCGAATTCCAGGACAGCCAGGACTGTTACACAGAGAAAGGCTATCTGAAAAAAACAAAAACAAAAACAAAAGCAAAAAAGAGACAGAGTAAAGTCTCATGCATCCCAACTTTATTCAGAGAGAGCATCAGAGAGTTAGGAAAGGTCACTTGAGTAACGCGTGCGTAAATTGAAGCTGTGGGTAATCACAAGGACAAGCGTGGAGGCACACGAGTACCAACAGCTGAAGTAAACTCCCTCCCCTCTGCTACACCTGGGAGGAGCACAAACACACATTCCAAGGACAATTCGGTGTTTTAAGAAACTGAGGTCACAAGACTCTTGTTTTCTCACAAGTACTCAGAATTCTCCCATGACTCCATTGTAGGACTGCATCTGACAATGTTCTACTTGTAGAACATCTCATTAACTTACTTACTGGCTGTAGGAATGTTGGTATTCTCACCACTCTACCTAGTCTATAATCAGACCACACTTTTTTGTTTGTTTCTTTTTTTTGTTTTTTAAGACAGGGTTTCTTAGCCAGGAGGCAGAGGCAGGTGGAGCTCCATGAGTTCGAGGTCAGCCTGGTCTACAAGAGCTAGTGCCAGGACAGGCTCCAAAGCTACACAGATAAATCCTGTCTCGGAAAAAAAAAAAAAGATAGGATTTCTTTGTGTATATTTCTTAGAGAAAATGTACTTTCATCTTTAAATTCAGTATCATTCCACGAGAAATAAGAATCTTACTGAATATGATCTCAAAACTACTGTTCTTTACAAAATTAAAATATAGCCATGCATAATACATAATACATCTTTAATCCTAGAACTCAAGAAGTAGAGACAGGAAGATCTTTGAGTTTGAGGCCATCCTGGGTCTCCATTGTGAATTAAAGGTCAACCAGGGCTATATGAGAAGACGCTATCTCAAAAAAAAAAAAAGCTTAATGATTGTTCCAATATTTCTGCCGAATTCAGTTTATTCTTTATATACTAGATTACATCTATTCTTGAATCATCTGGAGTTAAAACAATGTGGCCATTAGTTCTTTTAAGATTTATTTTATTTTTTAATTATGTGGGAAGGGTATGTGTGTGCACATGACTGCAAGAGCCTGCAGAGACCAGAGACATTAGATCCCTGGAGCTGGAGTTGCAGGCAGTTATGAGCCACCCAAGGGCTAGGAACTGAACCTGGGCTCTCTGCAAGAACAGTACATTCTCTTGACCACTGAGCCATCTCCACATTTCAATTCGTAAATTGGCAGGCCTAATCCTTTATATATTTGATTTTACTTTATTCTGTTTTTATTTATTTCAGTAACAAGGATTAAACCTAAGGACTTTCACATGTAACGAGGCTAGTAGCTAGCTAGTAGCTGCGTGCCAAGACTTTTTGAGACAGCTGTCAGACAGGTTGCCCAGGCTGACCTTGAACTCATTCTGTGCTGTACTTCTTGAACTGGCCTTGAACAGCCAGTCCTGCCTTAGCTTCCTTAGTCCACCCAAGCAGTTGGAATTGTTTTCCTATTCTACTGTGACAGGCAACCCTGATTGTTTGATGTTCAATGATCAGTTTGCCCCAAAGAATATATAATTTGTCTTATTAAAAATAGCTGCAGGGATGCCAGGAGTTGGTGGTGCACACCTTTAATCCCAGCACTCAGGAGACAGAGGCGGGTGGATCTCAGTGTGTTTGCTCCAGCCTGGTCTACAGAGTGAGTTCCAGGCCAGCCAGGACTGTTGTACAGAGAAACCTTGTCTTGAAAAACCGAGAGAGAGAGAGAGAGAGAGAGAGAGAGAGAGAGAGAGAGAGAGAGAGAGAGAATAGCTAAAGGGTGAGGCTGGGTGGATGACTCTGGATGCAGAAACTTGTAGAGGGCTGTTATTCAATCCCAGCACCCACATATCCACCCACAACTGCCTGTAACTCCAGTTCCACATGATCCATTGCCCTCTAATGATCTTCAAGGGCTTCTACATGCATGTGGCATATGGATTCATACAAACAAACACATACATATAAATAGGAATAGCTTCAGGGGCCAGCAAGATGGCCCCGTGGGTAAAGACACTGAAGGCATATACCCCCGTGGCTGGCATTTTTCCTTCTCAAGGATACATCAGGCACAACTTTCAAGTATTGCAAATAATACTTTTGTGCAGTACTACAGCTGTCATTACCAGGCAATGATACTTTGCTTATTTGTGTTCCAGCGGTTGATTTTTTTAAAAATTTATTTATTATGTATACTGTGTCCTGTCTGCATGTTTGCAGGTCAGGAAGGGGCACCAGATCTCACTACAGACAGTTGTGAGCCACCATGTGGGTGCTTGGAATTGAACTCAGGACCTCCGTAAGAGCAGTCAGTGCTCTTAACTGCTGCACCCTCTCTCCAGCCCGATATTTTGTTTTTGAGACAAGGTTCCATATAGCTTAAGTTGGTTTTGACCCATGAGGCTCCTGCCTCTGCCATCTGAGTGCTGGAATTATAGACATGTCTCCTGTGCCTGGCCCAGTTTTGTAATATTGTGAATCAGATAATATTCCTTCAATTTGTACTTTTCATATCTTTCAATGTTTAAAATATTCCCATGTACTTTGAATTATTTTGTATAACAGTTGGTGTCTTCACTGTTAACTATGAAACTAGTATGGACCATAGGTAGAGTGTCTCCCACATACTGCTCCCAGATACTCAGGCAACACTAAACTGTCTTCGTTAGCATTAAGGGCACTCATAATATGTTCTAATAATTTATAAGAAATATTTCATTCAGCATCTGCCATACTTTGTTATCGATATGAGTCAAAGAGCAAATACTATTTTTTTTTTATTTTTTATTTTTGGTTTTTCAAAACAGAGTTTCTCAGTAGCTCTGGAGCCAGTCCTGGAAATCACTCTGTTGACCAGACTGACCTTAAACTTACGAGATCCACCTGCCTCTGCCTCCTGAGTGCTGGGATTAAATACATGTGCCATCACTGCTTGGCTGCAAATACTTTGCTTTTAAGTATTTTGTACTTTTAAAACTATATGCACTTTTCTGTTTTTCCTAGGTCTCAAAAAAGTACAGATTAGTATATCTATTTTTTCAGTCATTACCAGACATAGCTTTCAAATTTCAATTTCCTAAAACATGTTTTTTGTAAAGGTTTATTTGTGTGTGTGTGTGTGGTGCTGGGAACTAAACCTGGGTTCTCTGGAAGAGCTGCAAGTGCCCGTGACCACGGAGCCATCTCTCCAGCCGTTTGTTTGTTTGTTTGTTTGTTTTGATACAGAGTCTTGCTGTGGTGTTTTGGGTGGCCTAGAATTCTCTATGTAAACTAAACTAGTCTCCAACTCTGTTTTAAAAAAACACACACAAACAAACCATTAGAAGTCAGAAGAAGACTTTGATTCTAGTCTTAGCATCACTTATAGCAATCTAAAACTGTGATATTTATGTTTTCTTACTAATATTGCTATTTCAGTCTTTCCCCCAAAACATAAACTTCATGACAGCACACATCATTTCTTTGAGTAATAAAGTCTTTCTTCTGCATGTAAAATCACAGTAGCAAACATATTGTTCAGTGTCTGACTGTGAATGTACATACATTGTACATGTAGTTAATGGAAGAATAGAACTAGGAAAAAAAACCCTCTTTTATTAATAAGTCTTTTTCATTGACCAGGCTGTGCTGGGTGCATGCCTTTAATCCCAACACTCAGGAGCTTGGCAACAGATCTCAGAGTTTGAGGCCAGCCTGGGCTACACAGAGAAACCCTGTCTTAAAAAATAAACAAACAAATATAACCCTTTTTATCATTAAAATAATTTTAGTGCAATATTTTTAAACTATTTATTTATTATCTATCTATCTATTTATTTATATTTAGTCAGGGTTTCGTGTAACCTTTGAACTTCTGATCTCCTGCATCTACCTTCCTAGTGCTAAGGTTATGGGTATGCACTACTATGCATGATTTTTGCAGAGTTAGGCACTCTTCCCACTGGGCTACATCCCAGCCCAAGTACCAGTACTATCCTGTGGTCGGTTTGTAAGGTTTATTTTAAAGTTAAACACCAAAATAACATTATATTAATGTACTGTTATCTTTTTTAGGATGTTATCGCTGGGTTCCTGTATACCCTTTTAATCTTGGTTATCTTCTACCCACTTGTGGACCTGATTGACAACTTCAACCAAACTTACAGATATGCTCCGTTCATCATCATCGGGCTTCACTTAGCTTTGGGCATCTTCTCTTTCACTCTGGACACCTGGAGCACATCCCGAGGAGACACAGCAGAGATTTTGGGAAGTGGTGCTGGAATTGCATGTGGCTCTCATGCTACTTATAACCTGGGTCTATTATTAGACCCCCCTCTACACACATTACCTTTAGCCAGCCCCCCACTTACTGTAACTCTGTTTGGAAAAGCCATATTACGGGTCGTCATAGGAATGATAACTGTGCTGATCATAAGAGATATAATGAAGAAGATCACCATTCCTTTAGCCTGTAAACTCTCCGGTATTCCGTGTGATGACATTCGCCAGGCGAGGCAGCACATGGAAGTGGAACTGCCGTATCGGTATATTACCTATGGGATGGTTGGGTTCTCCATCACATTCTTGGTTCCCTACATATTTTCCTTTATTGGTATCTCTTGATGGAGAAATATTGTTTATTATAAGAAAGGAGGCTACCAGTTATATTTAAAACTATTCTCCAAGTAAAACTCGGATCAGAGGTTTTTGCAAGAATTTAACTTAAATAAGTAAGTTCTGCAGCCAGTGCATTTTATCGTTGCACTCCAGATGTTTAAGGTGGGCTGAGCTCTTTCAGTACTGAGAAGTGATGTGCCCATTTAAGAATGTTCACAAAATGTTCGGAGAGTTCTGTGTTGTTACAAATTGTAGTTATATATAATATATATCAAGGTATACAGTGTGCAAATGTGTATCTAGTATATATTATATATATAATTATTTACCTAAGACCTGTGGGGTGTATTGAAAAATCAATAACAATATGCAGTTGTTCCTGCATTTTGGAATTAATGCAGGCATGTTGTTATTAGCAAATAGGTTTAACGTTTATTTCCTATGGGAGCCATTTCCTAGTTGAACTGATAATTACAGAATCCATACGCTACCACATACTGGTTCACTGCCTCTTTACACTGCCATCCCCTTCCCTGTTATCCATGACCTTGATCATGGGAGGCATTTCTAATGGACCAAGTCTTCGGGAAATTTTGTTTTGTGGATCTCTCTCTCCTCCTCCTCCTCCTTCTTTTGTTTTGTTTTGTTTTTTGAGACAAGGTTTCTCTGTAGCTTTGGAGCCTGCCGTGGAACTCACTCTGTAGACCAGGCTGGCCTTGAAAATTTCTTTCATATTTTTTTAAGTTCTGTACACTGTGTTGAATGTACTTTTTTCCCTCGACGGTTTTGGTCATCAGTAATGATTCAGGTACTGAATTTGATTGCTTGCTAACTGTGCCTTTCTTTTGCTGAGTTAAGAGACACCATGTATACTGTGATGTAAAAGTAAGACTCAATTCTATCTTAAGCTACTTAATCAGGCAAATACTTTAAAAATATATATCAAACTAACAGAGGTAGGAGCAAATGACCCGTAACTCTTTAGTCGTTTTTAAGGAAGAAATGTGGAATAGCTAAATTTTCTCACTAATTTATTGGAAAGCTAAATGGATAAGTATATCCATTTTTGTAGGTATTTTTCTGTGTGTTGCAAGTTATAGGAACAATATATATCTTATGTACATCGTCTTGATTGTTTATAGAACAGGTAAATATTTCCAGAGTGAGTGGGAATATAACTGAAATTTATAGATGAGACAATGTACACCCTTTCTATATTAAAGAAGCCATTTTTCTAAATTATTTGAGAAAGATTGCATTTCCCACTGGTAACTTTGAATATCCACTCTTTAGCAACCTAAGGTAGATTATAAAATTCAAACATGAAGTCCCAGTAGTTTAGACTCTTTTCCCAACGTATTATTTTTACAGTGGGAAATTTTAGTGTAGTAGTAAACTATTTTTTCTGTCTGCCTTTATATTTTGAAGTGTGATTGTAATTAGGTTAACATTGCATTTATTTATAGTGAGCTTTTCATAAAGAAGAGAATTAACTTCCCATAGAAATGAGTATCAGGTATGGAGCTAATGACTTAGTGCACTATCTCTGAATATTCAGGAGGAAAATGTTTCTATTTTGGACAACATAAGCATTTGAGCTCATATTTTTATAATCCTGATGAAAATTTAGGGGCCTGGTAATTTTTGCCCAAATGGCATCTGATCAACTTAAGCTGTGGGCCCTTCGGCTAGCAGGAGAAGAAAGTGGATGCTTAGGAAGCGATCGGTACGCTGGGAGCTGGAAGGTGCGAGAAGGTGTGCTTAGCACACTGAATCATAAGGAAGACCCCATGCTTTGGGTCTGTTAACCTATTAATTTTTCTGTGTATTTCTGTGTAGCTTAAAAAGAATTTTAAAATATTCTATTTCTTTGTGTTTTATTATTTTTTGTTTGATGACAGTTCTATGCTAAATGTATTTTAAAATAAAAGCCAAATTCAAGATCAAAAGGACCTCCATTTTGTTTGCCTCTTATGTACCTGTCTGCTTTTTGGGGGGCAAAGGACAGTGTGGTTTGAGACAGGGTTTCTCTGTGTAGCCTTCGCCGTCCTGGAACTCACTCTGTAGAGCAGGCTGGCCTTGAACTCAGAGATCTGTCTGCCTCTGCCTCCCGAGTGCTGGGATTAAAGGCCCGCACCACCGCTGCCTGGGGACGAGTGTCTGTATTACCTGGTAAGGTTTTAAATAATATTTCCAGGTTTTCATCCTAGCAGTTTTTCCTCTAAAGGATTTTTTTCAAACATAAATGAATTCTGTTGTTTTTAGACATAAAAGACAGTTTAGGCATTCTTCAGAGTCAAACTTTCCCTTAAATTTATGATCCATTATGTTTTTGAGGCAGTTTTATGTATCCAGGTTGAACAACTGCTTCTGTCTCTACTTCCCAAGCGCCACCAGAACCACAGGCGATGCCACCATACTTGACTTTGCTCTGCGTTATTAAGCTTGTCAAAACTCTACAGATCTTATGAGGAAACATGTCTTCCTTGTGAAAAATACACAGAGGGAAACTTCAAAGAGCAATAAAAGATTTTTCAAAAATGTTTAAGGAAGTAAGCCTTAATTTCGTAGCTTCAGGTGAGCTAGTTCATCCTCGTTGGCCTGTCCCTGCCTCTCCAGACACAGACTTCTGCTTCCAGCAGCAGCAGCAGCAGCAGCAGCAGAGAGCAGCACCACCATGCGTCCTGTGTCCTACGCGGAGCGCGTGGTTCTGTGGCTTACAGTTCCCAGCAGCCTAAAGGACCACAGCAGTCTGCTTTGCCATTTCAGCCTTGGTGCATTTTACACAGATGTTTGGAAATCCTATCCCTGGTTACAACAAGGGACAAACATGACAGAGAATTTGTTTCCTAAGGTGCCTCTTCAGTTTTCTCTAAGAAAATGATTTTAGCTGGACGGTGGTAGCGCACGCCTTTAATCCCAGCACAGGCACTGAGATCAACAATTCATTATCTTTCCTCTAATGTCATCTCCCTGAAAAATAAAAAGGTACTTGTTCATCATCTACTCTGCCATCTCTGGGAAACAGCAGACAGTCAATGGATATAATCTGGACTGATTCATGCAGACCCTACACGAGTCTCAGTAAGTGTGTGCGTATGTGTGTGTGGTAGTGAGGGACATTTTAGCTTTCAGATTCTAAAAGATTTGATAAAAGTTTAAAAGTGCTTTTTAGCATTTTATTTCTTTGTTGGTTCTATTTTTTCGAGACAGGGTTTCTCTGTGTAGCCCTGGCTGTCCTAGAACTCAGAGACTGTCCTGCCCCTGCCTCTAGAGTGCTGAGATTTAAAGGAAGAATGCACCACCAGGCCTGGCTAAAAATAGAGCGTTTACATGTAACTTATTTTCCTGAAAGTTATTTTCACTTTCTTGAGATGATGTGCAATTACAGAGTGATGAACTTTACGGAAATGTGGGGATCTCAGAGCAACTTATGAAACCTTTAGAGTAACCATGTGCAGTATCCTAGAAATATGATTTCCCTGTTGCCCAGGCTGGCCGGAAGCTCACTTTTAGCCCAAGCTGATCTTGAACTCAATTCTGCCTCTGTCTTCAAAGTGCTGGGATTACAGGCAAAGCATTCACTATCACACTGGGCCTGGCTTAGAACATTGGTTTAAGAAAGTTACTCAGTCAAGCCATTTTAGCTCTGGGATAAAATTACACTAATTTGGGGGCAATGAAAACTATTGTTTGATAAGTGTAAATAGAAGTTTCTCTGTCCCACCCTGTCCTGCAACTGCTTCTAAATAATCACCCAGATGCTTAATATTAATTATAGAGTGTTTGACCTATAGTTCAGGCTTATTAATAACTAGCTCTTACATTTAAATTATCCCATTTCTGTTAATCTATATATTGCCACGCGGTTCTTGTTGGGCATCTGGCTTGCGTCTCTCTTGACTCTACCCTTCTCCTTGTATTCATATCAATCAATGAGAGCAACATATATTCACAGTGTACAGAAAGGTTATCCCACAGCAGATAAACATTTAAGTATTTATTTTTCTGCTTTTTAACATCTGTACTAAACCAGGTGGTAGTGATTCATACCTTTAATCCCAGCACTCAAACTCGGAAGGATATCTGTGAGTTCAAGGCTAGCACAGTCTACAAGAACTAGTTTCAGGACAGGCTCCAAAGCTACAGAGAAACCCTGTCTCGAAAAAGAAAAGTCTACATTTCAAGTATTATTTACTAAATTTTTATATTGGTTGTGGATTTGGGTGACATACCATGGCTGCTGTTACTGCAGTTACTTAGAAGAGGAGCCCCAGGGAGTGATGGGAAACTGATAGCCACCACCTTCCAAACTCCTAGAAGGTTAGATAGCAACTCAGTGCCACACCCATGAACCCACCCAGAGAGGGTGACCAGCTACAAAGGTCCTGTGTTCTACAAAGGAGGCGCGCCCGCTGGGATTTACTGCCATGCCCTGGGAAGGACGTTCAAATTTATTTCTTACTTCAAAGTCCACAGGACTTCCACGCATTGAAATAAAGAAAAGTCACACATCTGGCTCATCCTTATCCTGGAGACCCAAAGATTCAAATTGGAAAGGGTGTTTGCTGACTGAGGTACAAACATCATGAATATCGTTTGTATGTATGAAATGACCCACGACACACAAGGAGCTTCTCTCTCTCTCTCTCTCTCTCTCTCTCTCTCTCTCTCTCTCTCTCTTGCTATTTTGTTTTGTTTTTCAAGACAAGGTTTCTCTGTAGAGCAGTCCTGGCTGGCCTTGAACTCACTGAGATCTGCCTGCTTCTGCCTTCCAAGGGCTGAATTAAAGGCGTGAGCCACTAGCATCCTGCCACCATTTCTCTTTAAACAAAAATTGACTTGCACTTTATTTATTGGAGTGGGGCGGTGGGCCTGTGGGGTCAAAGGGCAACTTGAAATCAGTTCTCTCCAAAGAGGAAGTCCTGGAGATTGTTGAGCTATACTGGCCTGCCTGTCAGCAAGCACCTTTGCCCGTGGAACCATCGCACTGGTCCTATTGCTTTAACATTCCTATGAAAACTCTTAGCTTCATTAGGTTTTCTGTTACTTAGAAAAGACTTGATAGCCACATTGTCATGTGTTGATCTTCTAAATAACCCACAAAAATTAACCCTTGAGGTCCTGCGAATAGTGACATTGCACACAGTGCCACACAGACATCTGGAACACCAGTTCCAGGGGATCTGATGCCAAATTTATGCCTCTCTAGGCACTAGGGACTCATCTGGTGCACATACATAGACATGTGAGCATCACGTACATGTACAATGAGTAACATAAAAAAACACTAGAAAAGAACTGCTGGGCATGGTGGCACATGCCTTTAATCCCAGCATCCGGAGGTCGAGACAGGCGGATATCTGAGTTCCAGGCCAGCCAGCAGGGCTACACAGACAAACTTTGTCTTAAAGAAAAAAACAATTTAACAGTGTAATTAAATTGTACATGGAAAGCTGGAGAGGCTCATACTGCTCTTCTAGGACCTAGGTTTAGTTCCCAGCACACACATGGCAGTTGGCATCCTTAACTCTAGTTTCAGGATATCCAATACCTTCTGACTGCCTCATGTGGTAAAGATACACATGTGTAGGCAAAACACTCAAAAATAAGATATATCTAAACTATGAAAAGATCCATTGTAGTTAGGGACTGCGGGCAGGCCTGCTTTTCATCCCACCCGGCTCCCACATGGCTAGCTTAGCCCCGGAAATAACAACACACAACTTGTATTCATTTAAACACTGCCTGGCCCGTTATCTCTAGAGAGTTAGTTACTGGCTAACTCTCACATCTTGATTAACCCATTTCTAATAATCTGTATAGCACCACAAGGTGGTGGCTTACCGGAAAAGATTCAGCATGTCTGACCTGGTGGCTGGCTCCATGGCGTCTACCTCACTTCCCTTCTTCCCAGCATTGTGTTCTGTTTACTCCGCCTACCTTATTTTCTGTCCTATCAAAGGGCCAAGGCAGTCTCTTTATTAACCGATGAGAATAACACATAGAAGGCCCACCTCCATCAATCCATGATCGCCGAGTGGTGGAGGTACAGGCCTTTAATCCCAGCACTCAGGAGACAGAGGCAGGGGGGGGGGTCTCTGTGAGCTTGAACTGGTCTGCAAGAAACTACACAGAGAAACCCTGACTCAAAAAAACTACGAAGAAGAGGAGGAGGAGAAGAGAGAGAGAAAGAAAGAAAGATTTCCTTTAATATCCAGATAGTCAAATAATGACCTAATACCCCTACCCCTGGGCTGGAGAGATGGCTCAGAGGTTAAGAGCACTGGCTGCTCTTCCAGAGGTCCTGAGTTCAATTCCCGGCAACCACATGGTGGCTCATGACCAGCTGTAGTGAGATCTGGTGGCGTACATGCAGGCAGAACACTATGTACATAATAAATATTTTAAAAAACCGCTGCCCCTTAAAAAGCCTGGTCTACAAAAGCTAGTTCCAGAACAGGCTCCAAAATTACAGAGAAACCTGTCTCAAAAAAAAAACAAAAACAAAAACCCAAAAAAACCCAAAATCAAAACCCAACAACAAAATAGCCCCCTGGACTGGATTGGGTTGTTTGTTTGATTTTGGTGTTTTTGCTTTGTTTTTCTTTGTTTTCTGAGACAGGTTTTCTCTGTGTAACAGTCCTGGCTATCCTGGAACTTGCTTTGTAACCAGGCTGGCCTCAAACTCACTAAGATTCGTCAGCCACTGTCTCCCAAGTGCTGGGATTAAAGGAGTGCACCACTACCTCCCGGCTTTTGTGTTGTTTTTAACTAAGTTGTTCTATTTACCAATAAAGACTCAGGAGTCAAATGTTGGGGTGAACGCCTGTTAGTTCACAGAAGCCAAGTTCACAGAAGCC